TTCTAGATTAAGAGGCAGTACAACAGAGCAGAAACTTATGTAATAAGGAAGAATAATCTACTATAATTAGGCATTTGTAACAACAACTTCCATGATCAATTTCAGAACGGACAAATAGAATACAAAAGCAAGTAAATCTTTAAAGATCAACAATGAAGCAGAGGTCAATACAAGATTTACCCTCAATAGGTTCAGAGTTGGTGCAGTCTATATACCTGGTTGTGCCTGCACCTACTGCCGAGAGCTAAGATTGGCTCGAGGAATGAAGGCATGTAAATAGTTCACCACAGAAGCATAGAGTACAGCTACAACTAAATCTTTTAGGACATTCAAAAATTTTAAATGATTAGCAGGAAGGAGATGGAAAATCGACAATCAGTAAAGCACAATTCTTTCGTTGAATAACAAGATAACCAGCAAGAACAAAAACAGAAATATTGCCCAATAACTTAAAACACTTGAAAGGTGAATGTGCAGATGATCACCTTCTTTCAGTGCATCACAAACTTCTTCAGTTGTCACGTTTAAGGCTTTAAGAAGAATAGATAAATTTTGGGCCTTCTTCTGGTCAATGATTTGAATATATAGATTGGAAGGATCTTGGGAGGAGTCCTTCTTTGACCCATTCTTCTTTTTTTCAGCAGAGGCAAATCCAAATAGAGTCTCTATCTGCTCTTCATCGAACCTGTTAAAGGATATTCACTGTCTATTGAACTCCTTCCTAAATTAAAATGATTTAAAGCTGCATAAAGCAAGAAATGATGGACTTACTGGAAAGATCCTGCCTTGACATGATGCCAAACCATTGATTGGTCAGTGTTGGCTTGAACCTTATCCCAAAAGAAAGGCTTAAGCTTAGTTTTGGGATCGGTATCTTCTTCCTCAGTTGAAGCACTTGTGGATGCATTTGGTCCAAGAGGTGAAATTCGAGGTGGCTTCAAGCCCGTGGAAGGTGGCCGAGGTGGTGCTCGAGGACCAGGCTTCATAGGTGGTGGTGGAGGAGGTCCAGCTTTAGGAGGACTTGGGCCAACAGACGAAGGCTTTCCTGGTGGTGGAGGTGGTGTAGCAGGTGCAGGAGTTGTTGGCTTTGCAGGAGGCGGAGGTGCAGGTGGGGCAGGAGCTTCAGAATGAACCACCCTACCAGGGGGAGGTTTCAGTGGAGGCATTCCAGCTGGTCCCGCCCTTCGAATCTCAATTTTAGAATCATCATTGGGATTGTTATTGAATGAATGATTTCCAGCATTATTGAATGAAGATCCTAAAGCAGATGACTTATGTGATGAATAGTCACTCGAGCTTAAGCTAAGAAGAGGTCTCTCATCATTCAACCCCTTTTTGGATCTCCTACAGCACTTACAACAACAGCATATGCATAGAAGTGCTATGAGAAAGGATATGGCGGCAGCAGCGGCTATAATAGGAACTCCAACAGTGTTTGTTTTCTTACTGTCTTTAGCTGCGGATTTCTTTTTTGAGTTTTTGTCGTCTCGTGATTTAGCTGGCTTTGACTTAGGAGGGGCAGGAGGAGGATTAGGTGCTGCTTTCAATATGCGTCGTTTAGGAGCTCTGTGCCAGGAGGAGAGAAACTCTACACACCTGGCATACCAGTTTGGCGAGCCCTTCCCCTCTCCACATATAAGAAACAAGAGATTATTTTCCCTCAAACAACCTAGAAGAGCTTGCTTAACCAGCGGATGCAAGTCACCGATGTGCTTATGTTTTTCTGAGATACTTTTATGAAGGACTTCGTCTCTCACAGTTAAAACTTCCTCCGCGACATAATACTTGAGATCTTCAACAGCTTCATTAGCACGTGTTAACTCTATCCTACAGTTCAACCACAATAGCTCAACCTGCAAGAGAAGATTTTATCAAACTTTCTCATGAATGCTCATTCTCAAACATGTTCAAATCAAATCAGTATTAACATCTCACAATAATTAATTCCAGGAGAGTCATAGGTCGGGCTTCTTTTTTTTAAGAAAGCAAAGCCGTGAAAAAACGCAATTGAAAAGGCTAGAGTGATATGGAACTGTTCAGCCTGATTGATTTTGACTTCATCTTTAAAGGCTTTACTTGGGGTTCTCTTTCTCAATTATAAATCATAGGGTGGAGATGAATTATTTTTCGTTATGGCACTTGTCATGAAGTGTTTCTGCTTTGGTATTGAAGATATCAATTAGTGCGTAAATATTCAGGCCCAATCAATAATGCAAACTCAAGGGTGGTATCTCTAGCTTGTTCCAGTAGCACAAGGGCACTTCTATGCTTTACATGGGTGCACTGTTAACTATATCCTAATTTCTACCAGTTTTTTCAAAATAGATATACATATATACATATGATTTTTTCGGAAGTTAGCGGATGCACATGCACCCCCTCTATTCTAGCACAAGCAAAGAGTTGTTGTCTCTGATTAATCGACACTAACTCCACAACAGCATAAAATCATTCCACAACAAAAGAAACTGATATGGCGATTAAGAAACATATACTCCCCCTTTATCACAAACCCCAACGACTACATATTCGTCGAAGACAAGGGAACAAGTAATGTTCAATTAAGTAACTCAAAATTCTTCAAACAAACATTTGAAAAAGACAATAGAAAAGTGCGGTACCATGTCCCTGTTAATCTCAGGAGAGTTGATGAGATTGTCAAGTAAATGATTATCTGAGTCCTTCTTGCTTCCAAGTACTGCTACCAAAAGCATAAAGAAGAACACAAAGAAATGAACTACTACTCCTCTCACACCCATTTGCCCTTGAATCAGCATCAAAGAAGTAGAAAATGTTTTTCATTAGATAAACCCCACAAACCCCTTTATGCCTCAAATCCACAAAGGGCACACATAAAGATCAATTTTTTTTCTGCATTTAACCTCCCAACTCTAAATGGGTCTTCAAAAAAAAACAATATTTCCACTTCCAAATGCCTTACTCACAACGAATCTTTGAAACCCACCTCCAAATTTCATGCAAAAAAACTTAATTACAGTGACATCAAACACCATAAATCAAAAAAAAAAAAAAAAACTCTTCTTCGGCAATAATCGAATCAAAAACTCGACAAATCAAACCCACCTCCCAAAATTGTAAAATCAATGAATCACAATCTACAATGTCATTCAAAAATCAAAACCTAGGCCCCGCACGCAGAAAAAATTAAAAAAAAATTATATAAATTCTTTTTCAGTTGGGGTTTTTGTATGCAACGAGATCGAGCAAAAAAATGCTCAAATACAAATAATCATACAAGGATTGAGTGCGGGTCAAGGAGGGGCATGAAATTGACCCGAAATAAATCTTTGAGCAGAAAGTGAATTTGTTTTTGCTGTGTGTGTATGGATAGCTAGCAAAATCTACCAATCGTTTATGGCATTTTTGTTGCTCTCTGTAATTCTACATAATTTTGTTTAATCCATTTCTTTGAATTTCCCATACAATAGAAACCGAAAATGGCGCTGAAGAGATACATGCATGGCATCTCAGGGGTGGTTCATTTTTTATTTTATATGGTATTATATATGGTAATTTGCATCCTACGTGACGTCTTATATGTATTATGTCACGTAGGATGTATATGTTCACTTATTCAATTTTAAATTTATTATACAGACTCAAAATTGAAGGACAGAAATATTAACTAAAATCTCTAAGTTAAGAACATGTTTATATATCTCGCCAGAATAATATATACATAGGTTTTTTATAACTCAATTGTGACACACTGGCCAAATCTACATCCACACAACATGATAGATGTGTTTGGTATACAAAAAAAAAAAATCATAAATTTCAGTAACACACCATTAAAATGGTGTTAGACTAGGCTTAAAGCAGACAATATTAATAGTGTTGGAATGAGCTATTAGAGAAGGTAGAGTTACTCATGAACATGCAATTTTGGGCAATGATGGGTAAACCTCAACGTTCACCTGAGTTTAAGCAAATTCCACCTTCTTAAGTAGATTGTCTTTAAGGGTGTAAGTAACAACTTAGCTAAATCTCATGTCGACAAAATACATGAGAGATGATGATAAATATAAGAAAAGAAGCCTTCAACCTTATTGACGTGTGTTAAAGTCGTATCAGCATAGGCACAAAGCGAACAATATTATCATTAAGGTTTAAGAGAATTGTGTTGTTACATGAGGTTAACTAATTTGAAAATTGAGAGTAATTTATAGAAGTGCCTTTTTGTTTTCAGTATTCAAAAGGAGTACTGGATTCCAACCTGCTATGGCCATGAATTTTTTCAATATGAATCTGACAGATTCCATCTGCTTATTTTTTTGCCTTTAGTGGATATGCAGAAATAATGCCATTTGGTAAAAGCTAATTTAATTCCACAAATGAAGAAATATAAAAAAAAAAAAAAAAGTAGAAAGAAAAAATTGGTGACACTAATCATCGTCATCATCAGCAGATAATGCACTTTTAAGTATTCCTTTCACACTTCTCTTCATTACTAGAATTACATTTATATCAAAATAATATATGAAATTACCTATTTCATATAGAATGTGAGGTTATAATTCTAAGATAAACTTATTTCGAATCAAACGACGCCTTATATGACAAACAGTTGGTTATCGCAAGTGGTTGAGTCAGAATTTTCACTAAAAAATTTAAAATATGAAGTAGTTGGTTGCGGTAAAATGAGGAAGAAGCCCAAAGGAGTTCAACGGTATAATTTTCAGCTCCGAACCCCCCTCCAGTCCTATCTGACTCTGACCTGCGTCTCAATTCAACGACAACCGTTGATTTATTGTGGTGTTCCACAAGTAATTTTCTCATACTTTTTTTTTTTTTGTATATAAAAGAGAAAAAAATCTAGAAAAGAAATATATTCTCTTATCTTTACAGAACATTTTTTCAAATATTCCATAAGAATTTATTCTCTTCTTTGATTATTTGTACCACTAGAATTAGTATTAGAGAAATTCAAGTCACAAATTCTCATCCACCATTATTCAAATTTCCTATTTTCGATTTTTTCATCCTTGAAATTTAATTCAATGACTAGTTACAAACAACTTGAAGTTCAATTTGAAGAACCAAATCCAAAAAAATGGTGTGTTCCATTAAAAGAAGATGTGTTTGTGAAATTCATGAACAAAGGGAATTTTATAACACATAAGGCTTTGTGTGAAGGTTCACTTTTTAGTCCACTATTGTTTGGCAAATTTTTTGATCCTTCTGATGCATTTCCACTATGGGAATTTGATTCAGATGTGTTATTATCCAATGCAAAAAGTTCCAATAATAATCAGTACAAAGTTGATTGGATTCAAACTGAGACAGATTATGTGTTGAAAGCAGAAATTCCAGGTGAGCAAAGAGAGATTTATTTAATTTACCTGAATTTTATATTGTTTTATATAAACGCTGATTCAAGATTTGAATTTTATGGATTCTGAATTCTAGGTTTTTTATTTTACTTGAATGTCATTTAGTGTAACTATAGTATTGTAGGATTTAATTTGAAAATATATTGATAGTAAAAATGTTATATTTTTGAAAGATCCAACATGTATCTGACAATATTTTTGAAAAGTTCGATATTAATATAAGTAGAACTACATATAGGATGCTTCTAGTAGTTAGTACCCTACACACTAGACCATGTAGGCTGTTGAATTGCCCTCGTGAACAATTCAACGGCCTACAAGGAAATATACCTACAACTCCATTGGCTAATGTCCCGCGGAGCTGCAACATGTTGTAGTTCTCTTGGCGGGCCATAAGCAGGGGTAGAGCTTCATGTAGGATTGGTTCAAGTTCCCATTCTAGAGGCGTATCTATGATGGATTTAACGTATTCAACTGAACTCATTGCTCTCAACTAAAAGTATTGTGTACATATGAAAAAAATGTCAAAATGTATATACTCTTATTGTAAGACTTCTTATAGCGCTGCCCCTGATTTGCAATATTAACTCGATTAACACTATTGACATCTGTTGCAACAGGTGTTGGTAAAGGTATCATTTGTGTCTCCGTTGAGGATGGAAAAGTTTTAGAGGTAAGTGCCCAATTGAGGCTGAAAGTAGAGACAGGGACGAAGGACTGGAGAGCGGGGAACTGGTGGGAACACGGCTGTGTTCGGAGGATTGAGCTGCCTGAAAATGCAGACTGGAAGAAAACAGAGGCACTAATGAGTAATGGTGATCACAAATTCTTAGAAGTTAAAATTCCAAAGATCCCTCCAAATATTTGTGATGTACCTTGAGGGAACCAAATTAAAAAGGGGCAAATAAAGATTATTTCTAGCTTTTCTAACAGAGATGTATAAAATGTAATTGATATTTTGGAGGATTATATATTGATCAACAAAAGAAACTAAATAGTTAAATATAATGTATCATTTGGGAAGATATATATAGGAACATGCTTGACATATTAATATGTAGGATTAATTCGTTTTACTAAAATTTTCATAGTTTAAGGCGTGTCAAGAACATTCTTCTTACGAATATTTTGTTAATGTAGGTAATTGGCTCAACAAAGCAATACAACTCCCAGATACTGAATAAGTACCACAAGGAGTCAATTGATATGTCATATCACTATGATACCAACTTGTCATTTGTTCCTTGAGTAAAAATAATTGAATTGTTGATAACAAGAATGGTAGGACGCTAAAGAGTTGGCTATGAGACTAGTGAAATTAGGTAATCGATTAAGTAATTCACATGCATGATAAAAGAGTATTCAAATTCTAGTATGTATTTATTCACTCGTATTAAAGGAAAAAGAATGTGAATATAGGAGGGAATTCGAAACCTAATTCTACTTCGATTCTTTGATAAAATGCTTTGAAATATCTTCTCCTACCCTATGAAGTAATGGATCTCGACATTATTATGTTTATAAAAAGCGAAATAGTAATAAGGAGTTGCGGGAAAGTTCCCTACTCAAAAGAGCAGCAGCAACCTATGATTAGATATAGTTTTTCTCTGCAAACACTGTTCACACATGGGGATGTAGCTCAGATGGTAGAGCGCTCGCTTAGCATGCGAGAGGTACGGGGATCGATACCCCGCATCTCCATCTTTTTCTTAATTAGTCCAACTTTAGTTTATCAACTCTTGTTTTTTTTTTCATATGCTTAGACATACTAATATAATTATTATATTGTTGATGAAGCATGAAAATTTGCAATAAAATTGGAAAAATCTTACCCAATTTAGTTCATAATAATAATAAAAAACTTATTTATATCGAGTGCTTACATCAAATCAATAAATATATGACATGTGTTTGTAGTTTATAGAGTTTTAGTACTTGACCATACCTCATTAATATGCATACTCACCTAATCAAATCACTTAGCTAGAATAAATTTGTATGATTTGATATAAACAGCAAGTGCGAATACGTTTTTATTGTTATGAAACAAACTCAATAGGACCATTCTTATGTCAATGGAACCCAAATTGATAAACTTTCTTATCTACTTCACAACTTTTTTTCTTTATTAGAAGTTACTTTTTTAACGCAAATACTTAATCAAAGATTAAACTAGAAGAGAAGAAAGGGGTTAATTAAGCAATGATTTCATTCTTTAATTAATCAATTCACGCAAATTTTTCTTTATTTATGCCTTAATTTTCTGGAAGGATAGCTTATAAATCTTAACTTCAAAATTTCCTTTCAAAAGTTTAAATAGTTGGTCAAAAACAACCTCATAAAATTGGTAGTTTCTTGTCAAGTCACAACTAAAAAGCATAAAGTATTTGTAAAACTGAGAATTTAAATACAACGACCAAACGTACCAAGTTGCAAAAAATTCAAGGCCACATAGTGATTTTTCAACTACTTTCAAAGTTCTATCGAAATGCACACGTAAATTAAAGGTGATAAAATTAGCTCATAAAAATATGACTCATCCAAAATCAGTGACAAAATTATGCACAATTTTACTTCCGATCTTAAATTGTGAAACTCGCCAACTTCATAACTTTGAATTAGTGTAATATGTACACAATCAATGACACGATCAGAAATTTTATTAAGGAGATTCGAAAAAATTCAACTTGCCATCTAAAGCAACTTTTGATCAAATATTGTCCTTTGATGTGCTCTTGTTTAATGGATATGTATATACAACTACTACTTTACTATGCCTATTTATGATCAAATTAAAAGTCGTGTTGAAAATTGATAACTTATAATTTAGTGATCGTTTCTTTTTTATAATGTTGTTTGTCGGTTAATTTGTGTCTATCTCAATTAATTTTAGTTCATCAAGACTAAGAAGAAATTACCATCTTGGATTTGAATCTAGTGATTTCTTGCAGGCCACCAACTTTAATTTGGACGTTCTGCTTCTATGTCTTATTCAGTTTCTTCTCTTGTTAATTAATTAGTTGAGAAGATATTATTTTAAGTCAACAATCTCATTCTCCAACAAATAATTCACATTCATGTCCGACTAAACAAATTAAAGATTTGCCACGTGTAACTTCAATTATTTGCCATTTGGCCTTCAAAAAAAAGGAAAAAAGATAAATATACCCCAAATTATCGTAAATGATATGCAGATACCCTCCATCATACTTTTGGGCCATTGGTGCCCCTGCCATCCAAAAAGTAGAGTGGTTATGTCATTCCCTCTAACGGAAGACTAAATAGGGACACATGGCAAAATCTTATTCGTCGATCCGTATTTAATAAATGTCAGGTCAGTGGATAAGATTATGACACGTGTATGTCCATTAGTATAAAGGGTATATATGCTCTAGTTTTTGAACGGCAGAGACACCAATGTCCCAAAAGTATGACGGAGGGTATCTACATCCATTTACAATAGTTTTCCAAAAAAAAAAAATACAAGAGTCAATGCCATCTAAAAAAAATTGTCCTCTAATTTCCTTTTTAATTTTCACAAATTAAAATAGTCATTCACATTTGGGAAAATGGGAGTACTTATAAATTTTTCAAAGATATTACAAGGATAACAAGAAAGAACCTATAAATAATAATAATACTGCATGCAGCTGGCAGTCCACAATTAATGTAACACACAATAGTGCCACATTTAATTTACGCACACCTCGACTAATTGCTTTCATAGATACTTGTCACCTCCCAACGGAGCTAAAATAGATGAGAATAAAAGTAGTAATTTTTGTCTATGCTCTCAACTAATAGTTGTTCTTTTTTTCTTGTCTTTACTAGGATTTAAACATGCGTGAGACCTTACGATTCTAAACTCACTTCATTAATTTAATGTATTTTAAATTAGTTTCTTGACTTGAAAGCGACCTTTAACTTGACAAGCAAGCGTAAAATGACATACATGCAAAACCTTGCCAATATATGTTAGACTACAGTATTATGTACTGTTACATTAGCGTGAAAGGACTGTCATATATATTTACCAAAAAAGCCATAATATATGGAGGAGTAGTTATAGTATCATAACAACTATTTGTTTGATGATCACCACTAAAGGTTGTGGTCGAGTGATAAATAATATTTCTCCAATTTTAATAAGTAATTTCGAATTCGAGTCATATATGTATGAAACCACCTTTGATAGCTAGAAAGCTCTTTATCGAGCCCTAAAATGAAACTTCTTGACATGAATCTGAACTAGTCGGTGCCCGATTCGTATATATTATATGCAGGGGCGAAGCTAGGTGGGGCCGTTCATGGGTTCGAACGAACCCAGTAGTTTTTTCGTAGACCCTATATTTGTACTAGAAAATTAAGTAATAACTTGTGAACCCCTAAAAAAACTAATTGACAGGTCACTGATAAGGAAGGAAAAGAAATTTTAAAACCCCAAACTCCTAATACTGACTCCGCCACTGACTATATGCCAAAGCCATATTATATGGAGAAGTAGTTATAGTATCAGGAGTTTTTTTGTTAAAAGAACATGGCCAATAGCATGTATTATTCTTTACGCTTTCAAGTTCCATATTTGATATTATATATCCTAATTAGGCAACTACATAAATTTAATATTGCCTGTTCAAGAAGCAATGAACTAATATAAGCCTATATTATATACAAACAAAATATATTTCCACTTCATATATTATTTAGTTAATTAACTCCCTAGTCGACATTTTAGTCTCTAGCCACGCACTATACCAAACGATTGCTCAATGCTCCATTTTGGTAACAAGCTAAGCATAGAAAAATTTAATGAATATGAAAAGAAAGAGTTCACCAATAGGGTTGTTAAACAGACGGGTTGAACAAAATTTTAATATGACAAAATATGTTGAGTTAATAAATCGCGAGCCATCAACTCAACTTAAGGTTATTTAGGTTGAGATAGACCGAGTAAAGATGACTGAGTTATATATGAGTCATAATTCAATAGCTCAAAGTTTTAAGTTTTTTAATTACCATACAAAATTAATGAACATTATATCCTTTTTCTTTTTGTTAGTATGATTATATATACCACATATCAAAATAATATTAATAAGATTTCTCGTGTGCCAATCTAGGCTATACATATTTAGTCCAAATTACCCCATCGATTAGATATGAGCTTAATTATGTGGATTAAAATAGATTGATTTAATAAATAAACAGGTCAATAATCTAATCAAACTTAAATAAATTTGGCCGATTATGTTATTTTGGGCTAATTTTACCACCCCTCTATCAATAACATAATTTCCAGACTATAATTAATTAATTAATTAATTAAATACTATTTTGACCTCCGCTCACCAACAAGAAAAAAAGATAAAACTATAATAAGGTGGATGAAATGGTGACACCTAAAAAGGCAAGAAGTTAACATCACACCTTTGAAAAAAGGTCCCTCGTGGTTGTGCTCTTTTAATCTTAGGTGACAACTAGAAATAATATGTGATGAAAACTTTAAATAATTAAAAAGCCTATGTACATGACAGTCTTTTACACATTTTGTCATGTTAACTAAACACGTTAGGCATAAATTCAAAGTGTTGAGATTTTTTTTTTAATAGTAAAAGACTATCTAATTGTGAAAATAACACATGAATATGTTAGGCTAATGAAGAAGATTAAGGAAAGGTGTGTTGAAAAGGACTATACGGATTAGTACACAACACCAATAAGTGAAAAGATATATTACCAATGCTATCTTTAATGACATTATTGGCATATTGAGAGCACTAGAAAAACATTATATTATAATTTATATCCAATGGGGGAAAAAGGTAAAAGGTTAGAATTGTATTCTTGACATACATAGGAAGCAAGATAAGGCAAAAGATCGATTCCATTTGTTTTTTAACTCAAGT